CTCCTATAAATTTATTTGATGCTTGGGAGGAAAGGTATTAGAAGGGAAGGGAAGAAGTCACTAAAGAGAATGAAAGTAAGCAGGTAGAATTCAAGGAAGGGGGAATAAGAAAATTGAAAAGAAATGAAAATACAAAAGAAGAAAAAAAAGGAAAGAAAAAAAGAAAAAAAATTAAAAAAATAATAAAAATTAAAATTAGAAGAAAAAAATTTAAAAAAATTGAAAAAAAATTAAAAAACAACAAGAAAGAAAAATGAAAATGAAAGAAAAAACCCAAATCAAAAAAAAAAGAAAAAAAGAAACTAATAAATGCAGTCTTAGAGTTTGATTAACTTCTCTTCCAGTAGGTGGCGCTGTGCCCACCAGGCCAAGTTTCTCCTCTCAATACGTGGGAACCAATCACTGTGTAGGAGCTCCTCTTCCCAGACTGGGTGAGTCTCCAATCCTGAGTGCCTAGGGCCTCCTCTTGTGTCTAGTCACTTCCCCACTTTTCCTCTAGCCAGGCCCCTCTCACGGGTGCCGCTCACCACAATACTGGCTACACGCCAGGTCTGCTGTTCCCGGGAGCCCTGTTTTCATGAATGACTGGGCACACTCTCCCAGTTTGCCTTTCCCTCAGACCCTAAGTTTGTAGAGCTTGGGGCTGAGAATCTTCAGTGAATTTTACTTGCCCTCCGGTAGCCACGCCCCCGGTAGCTGGTGCAAGAGACCTCAGTTGTCAGCACTGGTGGGAGCGGTAGCTGGGAGTTCCGAGCTGTGGGTCCCGAGCCACATCTGATTCCCTCGGTCTGGCTATTGCGCTCATGGGAGAGCTGGGAGGGGCCCTTAAGGTTTCCCCGATGTGTGGAGAGGGAAGGCTAGGGGATTACACACCTGTAGCCGCAGGTTTCATTGAAGTTATCTTCTCCGCCGCAGTCTGGTGATGTCAGTTCTCTGCCATGGTAGTATCTCTTGCAAATGGTGACAGTTCGATTCCCTTTGCCGGGTGACCAATGCAACGGGTGGGTCCTTACTGTCTCTCCCGAGCCCCGTTTCAAACCTGTGGCCACTACCTATGAAGGCTCAGTTGGCATTTACCTCCGTAGGATCAGAAGGGCTGACCAGTTGTTTCAGCCGGATGGATTAGTGCTGAGTCACAGCTGTTTGTCTTCAGGAAGCAGGCGAAAGGGAGCTTGAATTCAGCCGATCCGGGCTCAGTGTGTGTTCTGAGAGGCCCAGACTGTTGGCCCCAGATCCATGTCAGCTCAGCATTGCCTAGTGATCCTGTCTGAGGATGAAGCTGGTCGAAGTGGTACTGCCATCGGACCTTTTCAACCTGCTCCTCCAGGTCGTGGTGCCTCGGGCCACCACATCCATTAACAAAGACTCCCAAGGTACGGGGTCCGAGTCCCCGGCATTGGCTGGGGGAGACTGCGGGCTCCGGAGCGGGAGCTCGGAGACCTGGACGAGGGTGACGAGGAGGAGGAGGAGAAAAAGAAGAAGGAGGAGAAAGAGGAGGAGCGGGAGGAGAAAGAGACGCGGAGGAGGGGTGGGGGAGCCGGGCCGCCGACTCCGGGACCCGGGGCCGGCACTCCCGGCACAAAGGCGGGGCGCTCTCGAGCGGTAGAGGCGGCGGGGAGGAGGAGGAGGAGGGGGCGGTACCTGCGAGGTGGGGGAGTGCGGCCCGTCCGCGGTCCCGTTCTTGGCGTAGGAGGACATGGTTCAGAGCCGCCGCATGGCCCGCCCGTGCGCGGTGGGCGGAGGGCCGGCGGCCCCCGAGGCCGGGATGCGGGCGGAGGGGGAGGGCGGCAGGACTTCCCCACCCGGCTCCTGGACCCGCGCCGGCTCCCGGGCTGCCTGCCCGCACTTCGGGGAGCACGACACCTTAAAGGGACCGAGGCGCTTCCCCCGCGCCTGCAGCGGGGTCCCACGGAGGGGGCTACTCCCGATCTCGCCTACACGAGCCGTTTGG